ATAAATAGAGGTCATTTCTGGTTGATCAAAGCACAACAAAACATAACAACACTTGTTTTCCACCATTTCACTCACCATTCCAAATTTTCAAGTTCATGAGGTGTGAGAATTGAATTTTGCAATAGGGAGCAACTCAACTCAACTTAAACCAATGGTCCTAACACCTTACATACATCATATATGAGTGATCCAAACCCTTGAACAATATCTGTAACACTAAAATCATTAAGATCATAGTTTATCCCAAGAAAGTTGCAGTTGGATTCGAGCCAAGCAACTTATAAGGTTTCAACTTGTTCTAAGCATCTCAACACAATCCTTTAGAGTGTAAGACTCAACACCTTTGTTTACTTAAAGATCAAGTCATCTTCAAAGTCAAAACTTTCTTGAATTTCTCAAAACCCTAACCCAGTCTTGAAGAAAACATTTGATCAATCACAATACATTTGGGCCTCTATGCAAAGTATAAGACCCACCACCTTTTTCAATTCAATTCATACTTGTTTATATACTTATATCATATCTATGTATATAAGCTTGTACATATCCTGTTAAGTTTCTCTTAGCATTTGAATTATTCTTTTAGACTAGTTCAAACAATAGGATCTTTGTCAATCAGTATAATTTAGTTCAAACAACTAGTTCCCCCTTGTACAAAAGAATTCTTCTTCCCAATACAGTTAGCCTCCTCTTAGGTTTTGTTCAATTGTCTCAACCTTGAAAAACTTCAATAAAGAGAGGATCATTTCCCAGTGAAACCTCTTATTCAACCCCTTTAATCTTGGAATAGTTCAACAAATAAATGATTATTTCCTGGTGAAACCGTTCTTGAACTCTTCTTAAGACTTGGACAGTCTAAATTCCTTAGCCTTCTCTTGGGCTTCATACAAGCATCATTGCCTCCTCTTGGGAATTATACAAAGAATCTCCCCAGCAAGATAGCCTCCTCTTGGGCTTAGTACAAGGACCCACATGCTTCCTAGAAGCATACCCAACCTCCTGTTGGGCTTCATACAAGGACCCTCAGGCTTCCTAAAAGCACAGGATAAACCCTAGTCATCTCTACCCCTACATCAATTCCTAGAAGAGTCAAAACCTCTAAAATATTCAAATTCATCCTTTGAGTCTCCTCTGATCCTCAACAAGGCTTGACTTCCACCTTAAATCCCCAGCAAGGGTCAGGTTACAATCAACAAATCCCAAGAATCAAAGCCTTTATGGCAGGAGTCAGTTTCTCTTTTGATTCCTCAAAGTAGTTGGATCCTGCTCTTGGATTTAATTTTTCTCAGTAAGAGTCAGTCTCCACTTAAATTCCCTCAACCTCCTCTTAGGCTTCATATAAGGATTTTCCCCAATCAGCCTCATTCTTGGGTTTTGTACAAGACATATATAATACTCCCCTAGTTGAGTCAATTTTCAATCCCTTTTTTAGCTTCAACCTTGGGTTTTGATCAAGGCACAAAATTCAACATCCCCATAGATGAGACTCTGAGTCCTCTCTGTAGTAGGATATTTCCTCTATACATCACATTTCAAAATAAACAAGTAAACCCTTTTCTTAATAATTGATGTAAGTGGCACACTTGCTGATTCAAAATCCAAGCTGAAGTCCCTCCTTTATCATGGGAAAAGTTTTATTTCATCTAAGTGATGTAAATGGCAAACCTCTAGAACACATACAAGCCAATGTCCCTATCTTAGAATACAAAGATTCATAAAGGAATAAGTGGCATTGCTCCACACTGAGTTAAAGTTTCTTCCTTCATGACATTTCAATTCTCTTATAAAGGAAGATGTGGCATTGTTAGATTCCACATATCCCAGTTAAAGCAACTTCCCTTATAAACAAAACCTCAATAATTGTGATGAATAGGTGAGATATCTCCCTTTAGAGATGACAAATTATCTCTCAAATACTTATTTAGCTTCAATCTTGGGCTTTGAACAAGACACAGAAACTCCTTTAGCTTCAATCTTGGGCTTTGAACAAGACAAAAAAACTCCCTTAGCTTCAATATTGGGCTTTTAACAAGACACAAATACTCTTTTAGCTTCAATCTTGGGCTTTGAACAAGACACCAAACATTTTTCCTCCCAAAAAATATGAGGAACTACGAAAACTCTGATTTCTCAGTTTTCTTTTTTGAGAATACGTAGGCATAAGATTGCAAAATCTTAGCGAGCGCACTAATCAAAAGCCTTAGGTCCACATACCTTTCCAAAAACAATAGAAAATCCTAAAACAACAAAAACATTTCCTCAACCTCCCAAAGGAGAAACTTTCCCATCCTGACAGCAAATAGACACAAGAAAGCATTTCGAACAGTAAAAAAAGATGTAAATGAAGGTTCCTATAGGTTACTATAGATACTCTAGGTGTTAATAGCTTCCCTTTGTATAACAAACTCATGATTTCAGATCTCTTTGCATTTGTAGGAAAAACACTTGCGTGCAAGGTTAGTTTAAGATATCTTCCCCTTCCTTTTAAGCTTCATAGGATAAATATAGAAATAAAAAAGTAGCACCAGGAGCAGTAATGTTCGCGTCACACAAACTGGCTGCAACATGGTGGTTATTCCAAGGACATATAAAACCTCTATGATTACTATTTTCTTTCCATATTCTCTTTTGACAAGAACATTTCTAGTTCCTTCATCTTGAGTGACTCTATTAGCTGCAAACTTCATAGTGCTTTTCTTCTTTGGATCAAAGTTGACAAGCCACTTTTGATGCTCGTTCATATGATTGGATCATCATGAGTCTATGTGCCACACTTCTTTGTTGCATGAATATGGGTTAGTAACCATCATCAGCATCAGAGGTTGTTCTTCAAGACTTTTCCCATCTTCTTTGGCCATGTTTTCCTGGTAATCTCCTCTTTGATCTGTCTAATTTGTTGATGTTGTACATTCTATAGAGAAAATCCCAATCCGATTGCAATTGAAGCACTTGATTCTTTTTCTATCAACTTTCTTTCTTCCTCCTCGCTAATTTTTTGATCCCCCTATTTTATTTGAGGTTTCTGAAGATTCTTGATCATTCTTCTCTTGTTCTTGATTCTGAGTAGTTCTTCCAAATCCATTTTTGGAATATCTTCCACAACCCCGACCTCTCAAGCCTCCTCTTGAATTGTAGTCGTCTCTTCTTTAAGTATGTTCTTGTAGGACTTGATGATCACTCAATTTCTCTATACCCCTCAGTGATTCTTTGTTCGTGTGCTTTATGGGAGCTTGTAACTCTTCTACCTTCATTTATTCATGCTTCTTAGATTCTTTCATGACTACCACTATGTGGTCGAATTTGGGGCTTAGGGTTTGCAAGATATTTTTAACAATTATTTGATCTGAGATGGTTTCACAATATTTTTTCATTGCATTTGTGTGGGTGATAATTCTGTTAAAGAGCTCCGCTATCTTTTCGTTATTTTCCATTTGCATCAGTTCTTATTGACGCCTCATCGTCTGCAATCTCATCTTCTTCAGTTTCTCTGCACCATCATTGCACTTCTTTAGAATCCCTCACGCTTCTTGCGAAGTTGAAGCACCTGCAATCTTCTGGAAAATGTACTTCATCAAGACAATGATGGGGCATAAATGATACTTTGCAATTTTTCTTTGTAAAGCGCCTTCTGCGCATCTGTAAGATTGTTGAGGAGTGCATGATAATTTTCTTCAATAATTTCTATGACTTATTTATAGCCTAAAATTGCCTTCATCTGTACACTCCATCAATCCCAGTTCTTTCCATTGAGAACAGGAGAATTCGTTGAGAACTTTGTGCCAATTAATTATGTCGTGTGTTCCATGTCTCAATCGCAACTGAACTCTAAATACCATTTGTTAGAACATACACACTATAATAATTATGCATTAAAAAGGTTGAATTTGAATAGTTTCTATATTCAAATAACCAATTCATTGTAATATAAGAAAGTGCATGTTTATATAATAAAATCACCAATAACATTCAACTATTCACTCTAGTCTACATTACATATTATAATATTGAATCATTTCTAACAGTCACATCTGCAACTTGATGCAACTAAAAATGGAGTATCCTAAACTTTCTAGTATCTTCTTTAAGAAGGATTTACAATATCATATACTAAGGTGCTACCAAAAACAAAAATAAAAAGATAACAATATACTCTCTCCATTTTTTATTATAAACAAAAGTTTATTTTTTAAATTTATTAAATACTATATATTTTATATACATATTCAATACATTTATAAAAAATAATTTTAATTATAATAAAAAAAATTAAGCGAATACTCTTTACTTTAATGCTTTTCTTTTACTATAAAAAAGAAAATTAGAAAATAACTCTCATGTCTCAGACATGTGGGACAACTTGCATGTTTTTCAAGTGGAGATTCGAATATTGATTCATTATCCTATTGTAAAAATTTAGTAGGTAACTTCAATCTATATTGATTTTAAATCACTGTTTTTTATGGATTGAAATATATGTGGAATTTATATATGTCTCATCATCATTTAGTAAATCTTATTATAATTAACTGTACCGGTTTAAAAAATTAAATTTTATTTAATTCTTTTGCATAGATGAACAGTAGTGAACAATAATAGTACCAACCATGAATAATAAAAATTTTAATATACTTAAATTTCCCTGAATTCAAATATTATGTGATTACTAAAAGATAAAATCTCTGAATTCACTTTCTATCCAAAAAATTATCTACAAGCCTCAAATCCCTTTCTGCAGTAATGATATTATTATCACAGAACAAATAGGCCATAACTAGTAATAATAATGAAGTGTGTGACTTCTATTGGCACATATATTAAAATATCTTTTTCTTTATGAAATCCAAAACTCAAAACCTCATTGGTTGGTTTGAAAGGATGTGGCATATGCACATACTGCTAATTATCTTATCCTCACATTTCTTCACTTTATAAACTCTATTTCAAATCCATTTTTCTAATAACACCAATACATTTTATTTACATAAAATTTTCTTATAGTAATGGCTCTTCAAACCGCTTATTTGCTTCCTGCTTCTTTCTCCATTCCCAAAGAGGTTTGTTCTTGTTGCTGTTGTCGTTGTTCTTGAATATATATTTTTTCAAAGTTGATAATTGAACTGAACTTGTGGAAAATTATATGTGTGTTTTATAGGGGAAGGTTGGTGCATCTCTCAAGGACTCAACTCTTTTTGGTGTTTCATTTTCTGATTCTTTGAAAGGTGATTTCACCTCTTCTGCATTGAGGTGTAAGGTAACTGAAAACATAGCTTTGGTTTTTATATTTCTCAATTAGTTATTCAATTGTTGATACTTATACTTGTATCAAATTATGTCACTTGTATAAATAAATGTTAGGAAAATTTGTAAGTGCTTGTTTGGAGTCACGGTGGATTTGTCAGAATCACGGTGTTTCTGACAATTTCAACGTAGTTCCAAACATGCCATAAAGAGAACTGAGTATATTGCCAATGTTATATTATGCCCTTATTTTTTGGGACATTGTCTAATTTATGTTTTCGTGCTATCTATAAGAGGGAATTGCGACAAAAAGTTGGTGCTGTGAGGGCGGAGACAGCGGCTCCGGCCACTCCAGCAGTTAACAAGTCATCATCTGAAGGGAAGAAGACATTGAGGAAAGGAAATGTTGTGATCACTGGTGCTTCATCTGGTTTAGGTCTAGCTACTGCTAAGGCTTTGGCTGAATCAGGAAAGTGGCATGTAATTATGGCTTGCAGGGACTACCTCAAAGCTGCAAGAGCTGCGAAATCGGCTGGATTGGCTAAGGAAAACTACACAATTATGCATTTAGACCTTGCGTCTCTTGACAGTGTTCGTCAGTTTGTTGATAACTTCAGGAGATCGGAAATGCCATTGGACGTGCTGGTTAATAATGCTGCTGTTTACTTTCCAACTGCTAAGGAACCTAGTTTCACGGCGGATGGCTTTGAAATTAGTGTTGGGACAAACCATCTCGGGCATTTTCTTCTTTCGCGCCTTTTGCTTGAGGACCTTAAGAAATCTGATTACCCTTCAAAGCGCTTGATCATAGTCGGCTCAATCACAGGTAAAGTTCATTCGTCAAGGCTTTTGATGTATCTGCTACCACATATGAATGCGATTCTCTACAATATCTAGGATTATTATTTTATTGTGTTTTATACTAATTGTATTTGAACTAAATAGGTAACACGAATACGTTGGCTGGAAATGTACCGCCGAAGGCTAACCTCGGTGACTTGAGGGGACTTGCTGGTGGCTTGACCGGGCTCAACAGTTCGGCAATGATAGACGGTGGAGATTTTGATGGTGCCAAGGCATACAAGGACAGCAAAGTCTGTAATATGCTCACAATGCAAGAGTTTCATAGAAGATATCATGAGGAAACTGAAATCACATTTGCTTCCCTTTACCCTGGTTGCATTGCCACAACAGGATTGTTTAGAGAGCACATTCCCTTGTTCAGAACTCTATTCCCTCCATTCCAAAAGTACATAACCAAAGGCTACGTCTCAGAAGAAGAATCCGGAAAGAGACTTGCTCAGGTAATAAGAGACTCTTTTGATTAACTTATTTCAACTTATGTAATAGTATAAATAACAATTCGTAAGACTCTTTAGAAGAGCTTATGAAAACGACTTATAAGCATTTATAGCCGCTTAGTTTCAAACAGGGTCTAATAGCAGTAACACCCGAGGAATGTGTTTGTGATTGAAGGATCGTCATTTCTCATGTATGGTTGTGTTGTTCTCCATGTAGGTTGTAAGTGATCCAAGCCTAACAAAATCTGGTGTTTACTGGAGCTGGAATAATGCTTCTGCTTCATTTGAAAACCAGCTATCACAAGAGGCCAGTGATGCCGAGAAGGCTCGCAAGTTGTGGGAGGTTAGCGAGAAGCTTGTTGGTTTGGCCTAAAGTGAGAGCCTCCAACATCTATGCTGAGTTAGAGACAGGCATTGCCATGGAAGGAAAATGATGCCCCAGAAGAGTGAAAATGATGATATAATGTTGAGTGCATTAATTGTTGTTGTGTTAGATAGGAACTTTTTTTTGTCTTAATGTAGGAGTTGATGAATAAAGAAAATCATTCAACCATTTGGCAAAGTACTTATAAACGTTTTTGAAATAACTGTCCATAGTGAAATTTCTCTTAAGTCTTGTTAAACTCCGGCATAACTGAGAGTTTGGAACTAAATCAAGGCAAAAGAACACTTTCATTTTGACAAAAACTAGACTTTCGCAATTCTAACAAAAACTATACTTTTGAGATTCTAAACACTTCAAGACAGATGCGTACATTTGTAATATACATATATTGCTTTAACTATCATGAACTCAAAGTTCATAGCCAGGGAATCTTGCCACTTGTGGATCAATCATGTCTAGAAAGGTGTATGCCATTCCTCCAAGACCTTCGAATAAGGAATAAGGACGATCCCCACCGTGCATTTTTCCTTCATTGATCAATTTTTGCGCCCTATCAAGTAGAGAGCAAGAAAATCCTTTAGCCTTGTACAAGTACTCCTTGTTTCCTGTCAATCTGTATAAAGAAAGAAAGACATAGGTGTTCCCACTGATGCCGTGACAAATGCCAACTCGCTTAAGAAGACCCCTCTGCCATACTACTTCTCCTGCATCTTCAGCTGCTTGCGAAAATTCCTTATCCCCAAAAATCTAATTATGATATAGAAACTAGTCATGAGAACAAGAACAAGAAAATTACATTGCACTTGCAGTACTTAAGTTTATGCTGTAATCATTGCAATCAAATTCATGTAAATTGTCAATTTACCAGTTCCTTTTCATCATATAGATTCCATGTTCTATTTGTATTTGAATGTGGTAATGCGGTAAAAGATTGCCTCATTGTCAAGAAAACAAAAAGGAGAAGATTACCTCGGCTGCTTTTACGAGCGTAAGAGTTACTCCCGGAGCACCATGACACCAATGAACAAGACGGTCAGATTCATTTCCTTCACTGGAGGGATAATTGCCACTCAAGAAACGATTCTTAATCATGTAGCGTAGTGTACCCTTGACATCTTCTACCTCATCTGACTTGAGTTCCATGTCCATCAAAACATTCATGATTCCTGCGAGTCCATGAGCAGCACCCCAATATTTCTTCCCATGCCATTCATACATCAAAGGGCACCTTCCCTTTTGAGCCAATTGTCTACCAGTTGTTATAACTTCTTCCACAATTGGCCTCTGTCAAAGTTAAATTAAAAGCCAATTTTCATGTAACCGTGATTTTGACAAAATAAATCAAAATGAAGAGTGCCACGATGAAGCACGTATGGCTTACCATGTGAGTAGTTTGTATTGTGTCTTTGCCGATATGCTTGTTTAAGAATGAACAAGCCCATAAGTAACCTGCTCTTCCATACAGTACCTCATAGGGCAAGTCATGGGGAAGCTCAATCTGTTCCCAAAGCAAAAAGCACCAATAGGAAAAAGAATAAACAACCAAAATTAATGTGTAAATTGAATTGTCATACAGATCATGATTCAGAATTAAATACAACAAAATACCTCTTTGAATTGTCTGAGGTAATAGTCAAGTAATCTTTCATCACCAGCATGCTTAGCTATGACAGCACCAAGAGCACAAACACCGGCACGCCCACAGATAAATGTCACACGACTGCAACTCAATATATTAGCAAATAATCCTGTAACTGTTTACATTATGTAATTTCAAAACACAAGTTTAAAGTTTGTTCAAGTCATTCCCTAACATAATGGTACGAAGAAACCAAAGTGCAAATTTCTAAGTTACCGGACAACAACAACTAAGTCTTATCCCACTAACTAGAATCTGATATATGGATCAAACGACACCATAATGTTCTATCAGATTTTAGGTTTCTATCCAACTCATTAATCTTTAAATCTTAATAATTTCTCTAAACGTGTGTTTGCTTTCATGTCCATTCTCAAATATAATGTACGTCTACTAGAAGCTCCAACTATCAGCTTCAGGAAATCACATTAAATATAGCCTTGGGACGCGAGAATCATTGAACAAACGCGTAAACAAACATACGCTAAGACTATATTTAGATTGGTAGTACTTGATAGAATGAAGTGGTAAATAATTAGATTTCAGGGTTTGAATTTCCAAATGATGAATGAAGAAGACTGAAACATAATGGAATCCAATCCATCCCATTTCACCCAGTTTGAGACGAATGGAATGGAATGAGGTTTTATAATAAAAATGCTCAAACAATGGAATATGATCTTTGTTTATTCTACTCTGTTTTGCTTCATCAATCCAAACATAGTTTTAATAATTTTTCTAGATCTTCTTCCACCTCTAATGATTTGATTACCCTTCTTTTTATCTACTCTCCTTACTAAAAAATCAACCGATGACAGAATATTTTAATTTATAAATAAGCATATACAAGCAACTCCGGTGTCATTTGCTTCAAAATCCAACTATTCATAGCAAACAATCCTAGACAATTGAAATCCTCTAACTGAGCATTTTAAGGACCTGCACACTTTACTATAGCTTATCTACCGACGTAATCACTTGTAACTTGTAAGACTGTTTGTGAGAATTTATGAAAATATCATATGACATGTTTCTAAACCCTTTAGGATGATTTATGTAAACAACTTAGAGCTTATATAAAAACAGTTTGATAAGTGCTTATACTGAGTTATAAAGTCCATAAACACTCATGCATAATTATACATTTAATTAAGTTGTTCATTCAAAACAGATTACGTTAAGTCTTGTCTAATGCATGAAAGAGAGAGTACCTTGAATTTGCTGAAGCAGAATCACAAGCTTTAACAATCTTCAAGCACAAGTTAAGATCATCCAAGTTCTTGGTTACTTGGTAGGCCTTGAAAACCAGGTATGCTGTTCCAAGAATCCCAGTGTAAAGAGTATAGTCCTTCACACGGCTCCCACCCGAACCCCATGTCTCACTCACCACCTGAAAAATAATCAGAAAAGATAGCACAAACAGTTTGTGAGCAAATACACACCGACCCATTATGAAACTAATGTGAAAGCTGCTAACTTGAGCCTATCTAGAATCAAAGAGTACCAATTGAGAGAAACCCACAAATCAGAATAGACATATGAATCCTAAAAAAAAGAAGATTTTTTTTGGAGTACCGATTGTTTCAAATGAAGTGCTGCAGCTTGGAGTTTTGAGGCGAGTGTTTGGTAAGGTAGAGAAAGGAGCGAGGTGAGTGAGTGTGGTGCTGGTGTGTGGGAAGGAGTTTCTTCTTCAATTATGGTCTCTGCCACGAATGGTGGCAAATCGTTCGGAAAGAAGCGATCAGCCATCTCCAGCTATAGGGGCAGAGTATAGACAAAAGTTACCGTCAAAAGAGATTGAAAACAACAGTATAGTACAAAATAAGGGAGTTCTGGTCCGTTTTGACACAGAAGTGTATGATATTTTCGAAATGTTGTTTGAAGTACTTTTATAGATATTGAAAGCGTGGTAATTGTAAGGGGGATTACTTCGAAGATACATCTCTAAAAATTCATTTGAGTGGTTTCAGAACAAATTCTCTCAACATTATAGTTTTATTATAGTTTTCTTAGGCCAAGTTATCCTGTAAAATCAAAGTAAATTTAACTAAAATAAGTTTAGTTAAAGGTAAATGAAAGTAAAAAATTATACATTAATTAAAAAAATGAAACACTATATGTGGTATTTTGGATCGAACTCTAGTCTCAATATGGATAATTTCATGTTTTGACAGGAGTTATGCATGATATAGTCGAAGTCTATTTATATATGCAGGAGTCGAAGATCTACGTGTTGTAGTCGAAACTTGTTCTAGCATGTTGTCGAAATATATTAGTTTGTAGTTTCAATTAGCATGTCGAATTGAGCCAGTTTATTGAGTTAATTATTTAGTATGTTAGTTGAAAGTTAGGATTTAGTTTCTTATAAAAAAATACTAGTCACCACTTCTCAATGAATCTCTGATAATTTTAATTAGAGGGAGAAAGTGTGTGGTTGAGATTCAATTGTAAACATTCTTCTTTTACGTGTAATTGAATTAAGAAACTAGTTTTTATACCACTTTAAATTGTCTCTTTTTTCTTCTCTCTTTTCCTTTACCTTGTGGTTTTCTTGTTGTTCAAGAAACTGATCATATTGTATTTTCTGGGCATCGCTTTCACAAGAAATTGGTGCGCGAAGGAGAAGATATCGTCAACAAAGTATGAGATTGAGAAATTCATCGGTGTGAATGATTTCGGTTTGCGGTGCTTGAAGATGCAAATCCTATTAACTCAACAGGGTTTGTTAAAAGCGTTGAAAGTATCAAAGAAAATGGATGGTGCCCTAACGGGGAAGGAGAATACAAAGATGATCGAGAAAGCCCATAGTGACATCATGTTGAGCCTTTGTGATAAGGTTCTCCGACAGGTTTCGAAGGAGAAAACCTAGTGTGTTGACGAAACTCGAAAGCATGTACATGACAAAATCATTGGCAAATCGTTTATACCTGAAACAAGCTTTGTATTCAGTCAAGATGAGTGAAGACAAAGCATTGGCTGATCGGCTTGATATGTTTAACAAGTTGATTCTTAATTTTGAAAATATTGAGGTCAAGATTGATGATGAAGATCAAATATTATTGTAGTGTGTTTTACCAAGATCTCATGCTCACTTCAAATAAACCCTCTTGTATGGAATAGAGCCTCTGACCTTTGAAAAAGTTCAATCAATCCTGTACTCGAAGGACTTGAATGAAAGTAAGGAGCATAAACCATCTTCTGTTGGTGAAAGTTTGTTTGTTAAAGGAAAGTTCTCAAAGAAAGATGGTAAGTATAAGAGGAAGAAGAGTAAAGTTATACAAAATCCTTATGGTGGTAATGCTCCTACTATTATGTGTTATCATTGTAAGAAGGAGGGTCACACAAGAAAGGTGTGCCCTGGTCGACTAAATAATTATGGTGGAATGGATAATGGTAATGCAACCATTGTACAAAATGATTATGAATCATCTGATGTCCTTGTGGTTTCAAACAGCGACTCTAGAAAGAAGTGGATTATGAATTTTGATTGTACTTGGCACATGAATCCAAACAAGGATGTGTTTGAGGAATTATGTGATCAAGATGGTGGATCATTGTTGTTGGGAAACAAAAAAGTCTGCAAAACAGTAGAAATTTGATTTATAAGATTCAAGCTTCATGATGAGTCAATAAGGATATTGACTGATGTCAAGTATGTACCTGATCTTAGGAGGAATTTGATTTCTCTTGATAAATTCAACAAGAAAGAATATGTTTTCAAAGGAGAGATAGTTATCATAAGGGTAATGAAGAGGTCGAAGGAAGTCTTGAGAGATATCAAGAGGCATCACATGTATACCCTTGAGGCCGAGGTTGTAAGTGGTTCACAAGATGTGGCATCCCCAAAAACTATGTTGAAGATTGAGTTGTGGCACAAGTGACTTAGCTATGTCAATGAAATAGGACTAGTCGAATTTCCAAAACAAATTCTGCTATATGTAGACATGGTTGAAAGCTGGAGTTTTGTGAACCTTGTGTATTTGGTAAACCCTATATGGTGAAGTTCAACATAGGTAAACAAAGGACACATGGATCCCTTAATTACATTCTTGTTGATATTTGGGGGGGGGGGGGGGGAGGTTCAAAGAATCCTTTACACTCAGGTGCAAAGTATTTCCTATCCATAGTTGATGATTATTCTAGAAAGTTATGGATATTCACTCAGAAAGCTAAGGATGAAGCTTTTGAAAATTTCAAAAGTTGGAAAACTGGTCGAAAACCAAACGAGCAAGAAGGTCAAGAGGTTAAGGACCAACAATGGTCTTAAATTTTGCAATGAGGCTTTCGACAGCTATTGGGTTGCGTATGGTATTGCAAGACATAAAACTACTGCAGGTACTCCCCAACAAAATGGTTTAGATGAAAATTTTAATTGAACCATTCTAGAAATAACATGTTGGTTATTGCGGGATTAAAGATGGTGTTTTAGGAGAAGCTGATGTGATTGCGACATACTGATAAATAGGTGCCCCTCGATTGCCTTAGGGATAAATACACCTAAATAAATCTGGTCGCAACATCCACCTAATCTCAACAGACTTAGATTATTTGGTTGTTTAGCTTATGATCACATTAGGTAAGACAAGGTCGAACCTAGAACTCTGAGATGTATATTCCTTAGATACCTTGAAGGAGTCAAAGCTTATAGGATGTGGTGCCTACAGCCAGGTTGTAACACCCCATATTTTATTGGAATATTTATTTAATTTATTTAAATAAGAATATTCGCATTTTGGTAATTTTTGGTGGTTGTTATGGAATATTGAGAATTATGAATTTCTAAGTTATTTATTTAAATAATAGTATATAATATGAATATATTGGTATTATTATTATTAATTAAATAAATATAAGTTAAACTAAGGGCAAATTGGACAATTGAGGAGGAGTTAGTGAGGGTAATATTGGAAAGCCCAATTTTAAGGCCCAAGGTTAGGTTTAACAAAAAGGAGTTTTTATGGGATTAGGATTCATTCTTGTTAGACCGTGAAAAGGAATTGTGAGGAGGAGGTTTGAGGCAAAAGTTTCGAAAGGTTTTCTGAAAGTCAAAGAGAAGGTTTAGAGTCGACAATTAAGGTATGGGGAGTATTGCCTTCATTGTTTTCAATGTATAATTTCAATGTATTTAAAGTCGATTTAAGGGTTTAAAGGGTTTGAGACTAATTTGAGACAAAAGGAATTAAGCCTTCGTGGTCAAATCCTATTTGTGAGGTTTTAACCGTATAGAGATTTATTTATTTGAGTTGAAGGGAAATTAGGCATTCGTGGCCAAAGATCTGGTTTGACATTTGTTTAACCCTGTAGAAAAATTAGATAGTGAGGAACTCTAATGATTTTGGTGTAGTCATAAGGATTTATGGGAATTAGAGCGTGAATATGGTACAAGATTGGCCTAATAAGTCGTGTATTTTGTTCCTTCATCGCCATAAGACCTTAGGGATGATTTAGGGAGGTTTTTGGGTTATTGGGGAAGTGAATCGTGAGACTTTTGAGTTGATTTTAGGTTCTAGTGTGTAACAGCGTTTTGCTGTAATCGCATGTTCGCACAGTGAACGAACTCGTGTCAGACTCGCGCTGCGAAGAATCCTTCATACAGCGAAGAAACTCGCCCCAGACTTGCACATTGAACTTACTAGCGAACGTAGAAGAGTTTCGCGAATTCTGATTTTGTGCAGTGATGCCTTGATGTTTTGATGTTGTGATTTCTTTAACGAATTAATATGAGTATGACTGTGAATTCTATATGATTTGTACATGATTATATGATGATTCCTATGATGTAATTATTGATGAACTATGATGATATTTCCATGAGTTTTGATGATTTTATGATGATATGATTTTTGATGATGATTATGATGAATGATGATGCACCTATGATGTTATTATGAGGATGATTATTGACGTGTGCATCATGCATTCATCTGCATCCGGACTTCGGTTCAGGATCTTGATTTCTTTGGCTTCAATTCCATTGTGTGGATGTGAGGTATTTTGATGTGCTCTGGTTCTCGAGTAGAATCGATCCTATTGATGGGGATCTATGGACGATTGATGGCCCAGTGTCCATCGAGTTATGATGATTGGTACCACATGCATGAGTCTTTTTTGCATTTGCATTTATGAGATGATCTTGAGTAACTTATGATGTTGTGGCTTTTGATGTCCATTGATGAATATAATGATGTTGAATATGAAAATGACACCATTTTATATGCTGATTTCCTACATTGATTATTATAAATCGTTTTACTCACCCTGCCTGCTTGAATGTTTCTCCACATGGGTAACGTGCAGATGACCAGGTTTAGCCGTGGACGTCGTCGAGGATATTTTCGGAGTTTTGAGTTATTGGCCTTTTGGTTAACTTAGAGGGTCTTGCTCTAATAGTGTAACTTTGGGTTGGGGTCTTTGAGTTAAACCATGTTTTATTTGATTTGGTTATTTTGGTTATGTTCTCGTATAAGGAAAACTTTGGATTATGCCTTTTTGAATTCCGCTGCAATTTTTGATATCTTTTGGGAAAACCCGTTGTTTATGGAGCTTTTACTTATATTTGATTTATTGGGAAATGTACGCCCTTTGAGGTGATTTTTATTGAGTTTAATATTTTACTCTGATAAATGTGAATATTTTGCATTTTATTTTGTGGGATAGAAAAGGGTGTTACATTAGTGGTATCAGAGCAGGTCGATCCGTCCGACCAAGTTTTTATGTTGTTAGTCCCCTGTCAGTCAATAGTGTGAGAA